AATAATATAATTAATACAAACTGACAAACCAATTTATATACATATATAATATATAGAACAATTTGTGTTATTTATTATTTAATTAAGTTGAGTTTTATTTATTAATTAATTTTTAAATTTTATTCTCAATTTTTTATTGTTGATTTGTTTAATAAAATAAAATAATATTTATATTTATATATTTTAAATTTTAAATTTTAAATTAATAAAGTATATTAATATTGATATCAATTTTGTAAAATATAATTTTTTATAATTTATAAAAATATTACAAAATTAAAATATGATAAACAAATTTTACTTAAATTAAAAAAATAATTTATAAATATATATAATACATAAATAATATACATCATATATATGTATCATGTATATTAATTAAATTGAAAAATATGGCAAAAGTCAATATTTATAGATATTTGAGAAAAACCTTTTTTTTCTTTTTTTTTTTTATAATTGTTGAGGTGGAGCATTTCCATCTCAAGCACCTTTTTTTTTTTTTTTTTTTTTTTTTATAATTGTTGAGGTGGAGCATTTCCATCTCAAGCAGAGATGCGGTCGATTGCAAATGCTCTTAGATATTTTAAAATATTTTTATTTTATATCAAAATCAATTAATAAAATATTATATTTATTAAAATTTGTATTCACCCTAAATGAATATGAATTTGGTGGACGGACATGACCGTGTCATATATGTCATTTTTTTTTATAGAGTAAACTTTAATATATTAGTATTTTATAGTTAATAGTAGGGTAAACTGTTTTTTAGTTCCGTAATTAGACCCCTTTATCAGTTTAGTCTCGTAAGTGGAGTTTGGCGCAAACTAGTTCCATAAGTAAAAAATTTTCGCTGTTTTAATCCTCCGGCGCCGGAGACGCCCGCGTGGCTCGCCAGAGGTGACGTGTCCGCCAGGTGTCCCGCCAGGTCAGCGACATCTGGCGAACACGTGGATTTATTTTTATTTTTTTCATTTTTTAAATTTTTTTAATTGTACCAAATAAAAAAATACAAATAAAATTAAAAATAAATTAAAAATAAGTTTTAAAAAAAATTAAAAAAAAATGAAAAAAAAAATCCACGTGTCCGCCAGGTCAGCGACACCTGGCGGACACGTTACCTCCGGCGAGCCACGCAGGCATCTCCGGCGCCGGAAGACTAAAACAACGAAATTTTTTCACTTGGGACTAGTTTGCGACAGGCTCCACTTACGAGACTAAAATGATAAGGGGGTCCAGTTGCGGGACTAAAAAAATAATTTACCCTTAATAGTATAAAAGAAACATAAAATATAATTTTGCCTTTAAGTTCATTTATTTTTTTATGGTATTGTATATAATATTGTGTAAAATATAGATGTATTTTTTTTATTAAAGTATAAAATATTTTTACTAAAAAAAATATAAATACATTTGAATTGAAAAAACGAAAACTGAAAAAAGAAAAAATAATTATATATAATTCGAAGGAACAGAGTATATATCTTCTTTTATATAAATTATATAGGTTTAGTCCACTCTATTTATTCATTTGTTTGCTCCTCGACCTATTTGTTATATTTGATAGTCCATCGTCATAATATATATATATACTCAATTTCTTTATTTATATGTCACAAAAATAAGTTTTTTTTTATGTAAAAAAAATTATTTATTGGTTTTCTTTTTTAACTATTTTTTTTATTATAAAAAGCCAAAATACACGTCATATTAAAAATCATATACAAACCAAATGAATCTACTTTTAGATGATTGATAGAATAACATTCTTTATAATATTGTATAAATTATATGAATTTTTTTTTTTATTTAAGTGAAAAATATAATTGTTAAAAAATTGAATAAATTGATTGTTAACAGACTAAAATGATAAAATAAATATATAGATAGTAGATAGAACCAAAATGATAATATTAATAGATGAATAGTAGATGGAATGAGTATAATATATGGTATGGATATCCATACAATATTGAGGGGCGTATTCAATTGAGATTTTAATGGATTTTTTTGGATTTTAAAAAGTTTATGGATTTATGTAGATTTAGAAAATCAACGGACGGATTTTAGTAATTGATGGATTTTAGTAATTGATTTAGATGGATTTTTACGGATTTTATTGAATTCTTTAAGGATTTATATGGATTTTGTAGGATTGTAAAATAGTGTTTTTATAAATATATATCAATTATATAAATTTATATCCAACACAAATTTTATAAATATAATATATAAGTATTAATAAATAATATATAATTATAAATAATGTAGAAATATTATAACATCTGTAACACTAATATATTATAGATTATTAATTTAATTTTATAATTTTAGTGTTATATTATCATTCAATATATCAAATTAATTTTACATTTCTTTATTAGTTATTATTATTATTATATTTATATAACTTTTTTACATAAAAAATAAATATGTATATAAATCAAATAAAAAATACTCCCTCTGTCCACTTACAAGGTTTACATTTACTTTTGGCGTGGTGTTTAACAAATAATAATATTAAATAGTTAACTTTACTTTTTTTTTTTTTTTTTTTGTATAAAAGTAATGATATGATGTAAAGTAAGTGTATTTACGGAAAAAAGTAAGGTATTTAATGAAATGTTAACTTTGTAATTGGACATCCCAAAATAGAAATACGTAAACATTGTAAGTGGACGAAGGGTGTATAATTTACGATTTTTGAAAAAAATGTTAATATAAATATATAAATAAATATAAATTAACTGTTCAACAAAAAAAATATTAAATATCTATTTCACCGTCATCAGAATGATAATATAGTATATTCGATAATTGAAAAAGAAGAATTACACCGAAAGGACAATATATTATATTCAATAATTGAAAAGTAAAGACGACAGTAATACATATTTATTACGATAATAATATTTTTTTTAAATTATATTTATAATATAAAAAATTATATTTTAAAAAAAATTCATAATAATTTGCAATATATTTTAGTTTTAAATTATTATTTTTACTAAAAAAGTATAATAATATTAATAAATATTATCATATTATTTATCATAATAATAATAATAATAATAATAATAATAATAATAATAATAATAATAATAATAATAATTTAAAGAATCCATCAATCTCTGCTGATCATAAGAGATTCTATCCTATACAAAAATTTTTACAATTTTTCATTAAAATCATATATGTATTATTGAATACTTCAATATTTTAAAACACTTTAAAAAGTATGGATTGAATACTCCAAATTTTAAAAGACTTTTAAAAGTAGGAGTATTCAATCCATACTTTTTAAATACACCCAATTTTTTAACATCCAATAAAATCCTACAAAGTCTAGAATAAATAGACCCACCCCATTAGCATGGGCGGCTCTTAGTAGGAGCTGAATGAGCAATTGCTCAGGGCCAAAATTTAAGATGGCTCATATTTGAAAATTTTAATTTATTATTAGATATATTATGTTTTAAATTTTATTATGTATGTCGGAAACTAATGACCGTCTCACCTAAAAGTTCGAGCTTTTAGGTGAGACGGTCATTAGCTTTCGACATGGTATCAGAGCCTAGGCTAGGTCTCGAGTTCGAGTCCCGCCCGTCCCCATTTGTGGCATATGCATGTGCAAGTTTCGCAGACCCACTTGCACCTGAGGGGGCGTGTTGAGGACTCCCGTTTGCGGGATATGTAACTAATGTCTTAGTTTCCCTAACAAGTTCGAGCTTTTAGGTGAGACGGTCATTAGTTTTCGACATGGTATCAGAGCCTAGGCTAGGTCTCGAGTTCGAGTCCCGCCCGTCCCCATTTGTGGCATATGCATGTGCAAGTTTCGCAGACCCACTTGCACCTGAGGGGGCGTGTTGAGGACTCCCGTTTGCGGGATATGTAACTAGTGGCTTAGTTTCCCTAACAAGTTCGAGCTTTTAGGTGAGACGGTCATTAGTTTCCGACAATGTATATATTTCATAATTATTCAATTCAATTTTTATTCTAAAATTAAACTTTAAATCCTAATCAAATATTATTTCAAACTCTTATATTTTCTTTTTAATCATATCTACCCATCTTTCTAAATTGCAAATCTAATCGTTCGTCTACCCACCCATAATGATATATTTAGAGTTCATAGTTATTATTATTATTATTATTATTATTACTTGTATTGTTATTATTATTGAATTATTATTTTATAATGGTAAATATTTTTATTTATTTTTTACGATAATATATTTTGTAAGTATGACCGTTTATTGAATATATATTTAAAATAATTTTAATTTTTTTGGGATTTATTATTATATTTATTAGTAATATTATTTAAAAAAAATATATTTATCGTATATTTATAGAACTTACAATTTAGCTTTTGCTCAGAGTCGTGTAAAAGTCCGAGACTGCCTGCCCATTAGTTTATTATAGTTTCATCTACTCAATGTAATTTACATTAAATATATATGGAATTAATTTGCTTTTAAGAGAATAAATATTTTCTTGGTTATATATTTTATGTTAGTAGGTTAATTAATCAATTAATAACAAATTTCTATTTTCATAAAATATTTTTATACTTCCTCCGTCACGTCAGTATTTTAAATATTTTTAGATTATATCTCAATCAAATATATGCAATATGAATATGATAATAAAATTTTATATAATACAAATAAATAAAAATAAATATTTATTTATTTATAATTAATTTAAAACTAATTTTATAAAAAAAGAGAAATTTTAAATATATATAAAAATATTTATTTATTGAAAAAAGAAAAAGAAATAAAAATTTTTTGAGGTAAATTAATTTATATTTGTTTAACAATAATAAATTTATTAAAAATAAAAAAAGTATCTTTTATAAAAGACAAAAATAAAAAAAAGAGTCACGCGTGGTGGAACAAAAATATTTTTTATTATATAAAATAAAAAATTATTATTATTATTATTTATTTTTATTAAAATTTGTATAAGATATTTAAATAGTATGCCCAACAAGCAAGTAATGAGAAGATGAGTGCAGTGGGTCGGGAATTGTGATTTGTCATATCATCAAAATACACATGCATACATATGTGCATTTATCATGTATCTCTACGTGGGCGTTGGGCAGTGGCTCTTTTCAGAAATTACACAGTTCCCATTTCCTGACTGACGAAAACATATTACTACTACTGCTGCTGCTGCTGCTGCTGCTCCCACCCCATTTTCTAACAAAAATTGGACTGGACAGCGCTTGAGATTTATAGATTTGATGTCTTGTCCGTCCAAATATATCCACCCACCCAACCCCCATTCATTCGAAAATATATTTTCAAGACAGACTTTTTTAGTCTTGGCCTTGGCCGCTAGCCTAGCCTAGCCTAGCCTCTCTCTAAAGCCTCAGCAGCAGCATTGTATTTGCTGCTGTCTTTGTTTTTGTCTTCGTCTTGAGCATCATCATCATCCACCACCTGATTCTGTGCTTTCACTTGAGTGGTGATGGGGCCAGTAGGAGGAGGAGGAGGACTTTCTTGCATATGCTGCTGATGCATCTGCCCTCCATCTTCACTACATTCTGCATTTGTTTGAATACAAAAAAGAAACAATCAATCAGTCAACAGGGATAGATGATGGCTGCTGCTGCTGTGTATTCATTGGGATTTCTGCTGTACACAACACAAGAAAAAATCAATAATAGTAATACCTGCAGCAGATTTCATTTCGACATTTCCTGAGTGGGGGAGGGCGAGGGCGAGGGCGAGGGGTTTCTTCAACATGGCTACCCCGGGGAACACAATCATGCTCATGTGCTTCATTTTCTGCCTCTCCAATTCTTCAAGGCCCTCAAAACCAAATACTTTTGTCCATGTTTCATTAAGCTCCGATATTGCAGGGATTACAAGTTTCTCAACGCCAACTGATCGCAGCACCTGGATGACACCATACCATACCATACCATATGTAAATAAATAGGAATCCAATAAAACCACATCACATCAATTTCTTTTTTATTATAACCCCACACACCCAGCACCGCATACCGTTTCAATTGCTGCTAAAAGCCGACTGCACATCCCTTGGCGCCGGTAAAGAAACCGAGTTCCAATAAAGGGCATTTCAGCTAACTGACTTCCATGGATTCTGTATTCAAAAATAGTGCCGGAAAAGAAAAACCAACCAACAGATGTATATATTATTGGCAAATCATGATCTATTTACTTTCCGGCAAACTTGATTTCATAAATAAAATTAGACAACCTTATGGAAGCCACTGAGACAAGCTCTTCCCCCTTCTCCAGGATAATCGTATAAAATCCAACAAAGTTCAACCGTCTAACATTTGACCTATGAACAAGAAACATACTCTCAATAAGATGAGCAAACAAAGATATTTTACCCAGTAAGACATCAAAGAATGCTCAGCATGGCATATCCTCATAATTGAATTGGGTACAAGTGTATAGAATACATATAACAGAAGGAGATAGGATGCACTCACCCACAGCTGTAGATAACATTGTGAATCATATTGGTTCCACTTCGTTCATCGATGATTGGCTCAAAACATTCATCCATAACTCTAAAGGCAATGGCTAACTTTGAATTGCATTCTACCTTTGAGGAATCATCATCACAGGATGCATTTCCACTAACAGGACAATGCTGAAGAATGGTATAAGAATATCCATCTTCAAGTTCATGTCTAACCCCAAGAATAACCTGTATCTGCTCAAAAATCTGTAATCAAAGGTCACAGAAAAATTAGAACTGTGATTCATGTCAAAAATTGAAATGAATATATCTCCAGACTGGTAAAATATTTATGGATATCGAACACTCAATGATGCAAAAATACAACGTAAATAAATTATAATAATGCCCATTGATAAGACACAAATGGCCCATGTGACTATCGTATAATTAACACTAGATTACAGGGAATTAGAAAATGAATTTCACCAATAATGTCATCAACTGCCAAGCGGGATATAACTTCGTATCAATAATAACATTAAAAGCTGATTATTGATAACATTAGAGTTATTTAGAGGTACAAGGAGGAAAATAAGGTGGAAAAAACGAAAGGTTTCAAGCTTAAAAGTGGAAAGATGTTACTCCACCTTCCAAATTCTCCATTATGTATCGAAATTTTCAATAACCAAATGAATCTATGAAATATCTCTTATAAGAGTTCTCCTTATACGAGACACAAAGTTATACCACAGTATTAAAAACAAAGAAAGGGGGGGAGGGGGGGGGGGTGGGCACGTACTCTGTGATGGATTCAACAGTGTGTTGCATTCTAACAAATTCTATAAGAACAAAATTAACCACATGCGTAGATATTGGATGTACCTCCGAGCACTCCTCCCCACAGAAAGGCTGGTTTTCTTCATCAAGGCCTTCAACACTCGCTCCTTTTATGCAATTCACATGAACTGAGAAAACCTAAAGATTGTGAATATTTGGTGCAAAACTTTTATATAAAGTAGTAAACTTAATAATCATCTAAAAATGGAGGGAGGAAAATAAAGCCTACATTTTTCCTCGCACAAACGGCATGTGAAAAAATCAGAGAACATGAGATCATCCTCATCCTCATCATCACAAACAGACGAAATTTTACAGGCCATTCCACAGACTTTGCATGAACAGAAAGCACAGTACCAGTCTCCAGGGGGAACCTGCAGCAATGAATTTACAAAAGCATCACTTATGGACAGTTATAATATCTGTTATATGACACAGTAGTACTGTTATTTCATCTTCAAACTAGGACTCCGAAGAATGGACAAGGTAAATAAAATTTTTGGGGAAAATTATATACAATATAAGACATGTGAGTGCTCACGCCGCAGCATGTTTGGCAGGAATGTCAGCTGCAGTTTTTATTTTACAGAATCTCAAAGAGTGAAAACAGAGCAAACATATAAATAGCAGCAGCATCAAAGAAATGGGCTATAAAGAAGTCTGAATGTCATTGCACTTAGCCATGTGGAACTCAAGAAAATAAAATCATGCGAAGAAATATAGTGGAAATAACAAAAGAACAAGAAAAGAGAGTGAAGCATTAATACTTCAGCATGTAAACAGCCATGATGGAAAGTCGAGGGACAACTATCACAACAGATCAAGTCCCCACCATCACCACACACATTGCATGTGTCGTCATTGGGATCATCACCTTCCAAATCCACAGAAACAAATCCAATATTATCCACTTTGACATGTTTTTGCCAGGAACCTAACAAGCACCGGAAAAGAGAATCCCCTGACTCCAGAAATATATTCTGATATGGTTTACCAAGTGAACTCCTAGCATGTAGTTCAAAGTCCCAAACTGTGTGCATTGCCTCACAGCAGTCACAACAGATTCCTTCCCTCAAAACCCTTCCCTCAAGCAATATCTTTTTATCCTTCCCTCTCCTATAATTCACCTTATCCCCAAGAGAAACAGTTCCCAAATCTATCATCCATGATAGCAAACTGCGACTTCCCTTGTATAATTCATCCCCACCACTGTCGGAGCCGGTAGGTCCACGAGCCACTAGGGTCCGCCGCTTGCCCTGATTAAGTTTTGATTTACTATTACCGTCAAATGATTTTATTTTAAGTACATCATTCTTCGTCTTTCGGTGAATAGTCTTTCCACCCACACCATTCTTCTTACCTGCTTTCTTGCCTTTCTCAGTAATTCTGAACAACATGCTTAGAGTTTCCACTGGAATAAGATTAAATGCTGCAATATCCACACTGTCTGCTTGTCCCTTATCAATCCTGTCCTTAAATTTTTTGTAAGCCAAGGTTATCGACCAGTGAGTTTTACCCGCTCGGTCGACATAAACAGCATCCTTGTACTCCTTGGATTGCCTCTGCCTGTGTTCAACAGTCCACCCAGCCTTCATAAGCATTGCAAGTATCTGATCCCTCACCAATTGTTTCTGTTCCCTAAGCCCCAATTCCTTGTCGCCGGTAGTAGCAATCCTCCTGGTCTGTTTTACTACACCACCACTCCCCAAACTGCTCTCACCAACTTTGAACTTCTTGACAGAAACAACATTTTCAGATACTTGTTCATCATCCATACTTGTTTTAGCAACTTCCTTGTCAGGCAACAAGCCGACATCTTCAAGATCTATTTTCCGTGGCCTTCCTGGCTTTCGCTTTGCCCCATTACCATTACCATTACCATTACAAATCCCACTAACCTTCCTACCACTCAGCGTCGAAACCTCACCATTCCCATTCCATTCCATTTTTGGCGGTCTACCACGCCTCCCCTTCTTCTTTGTTTTCCTCGTGATGGGAACATCAAATTTACTTTCTGCTTTTGGGGGCCTACCCCGCCGACCACTCTTCCTAACACCCAAAGAGGAAACCTTACATATACCTTCGGTTCTGGGGGGCCTTCCCCGCTTACGTTTCGTAGTTTCCTTTTCATGCAAAACAGCCTCATTACTTTCATCCTTATTCTCCAACACGGACGCCCCACTGCTAACCTTATTATCATCCATTTTCACAATCTCCATAGTTATCACTTGCTTTTCACCATCACTCATAGCCAATGTCCTCGATCTCAAAACTCGCCCACCTTTAGGTAATCCATTAGTTCCCTCATTCCTTCCGTCGCTCGATGTCTGATCAACCCTTTTTCTCTTCTTCTCGACGGGCTCTTTGTTCAGATCAATCAACTCGTCTTCGAATTCGACGCTCCCTTCTCCCATCTCAACCAACATAAACACCGATTCCTTTCAGGAGAAACGAAAACCCGCACTCCCACAGAGAAGCAAAAACCCTGGTGCAAGTATAAATAGGAAATCCAACCGTCACACGCGCTTACGAAAGGGAGTCGAGAAAATCACAGAAAGACGACATCGGCGAGAAGAAATTTACCAATGGCGCGGCCCAACTCGACGAAAACAGTAAGGCAACCGCTAAGATGTCGTAGCAACCAGCTGCTTCTACACTACATCTCACGGTCTTCTACACAGCGAGCGAGCGAATAGAGGGAATGTCGAAAGACGAGACCAGACGAGACTCAAGAAGGAGGGCTTTGTTTAATTATTCAGCATAGCTTTTAGGCGTCTGGACTGGAGAAAAGGGCTCCTAATTTATTATGGGTTTATTTATAGTTTGAAAAAGTTAAAGGGGCAAAAGTATAATTTAGAAACCTAGCGAAATCCCCGAAAAGTAACTTCCCTCCTTTGGTATTGTTTTTTCTCACTACAAATTTTTGGTTTTAATTTCCCTTTCTTTTGATGACGTCCTCTAATTTTTGAATTTCAAATTATAACGTTAAGCCGTTAACCAACCTTGTATGCAATTATTTGGTTTAAAGAATTTGCCCCCAAGTTTTACAACGATTTATTGCCTTTATAATTGCTTCACTGCCGCCAAGTTTATATGTAAATTCAAATCTTTATCATAATTTGTGATTTGTTAATGCATCTTTTTTCAATTAAACAATATCTCAAAAATATATAAAAGTAAATATTTATTTATCAAATGGAGTGGATTAACACTATCAGATCTTTAAAAATAAATAACTTAGCTATATTTGATTTTATTTATTTTATCATGCAATTCGCACAATTTTTTTTATGGGTATGTTTGGTTGGCTTCCGAACCCCGGTGGGACTACGCTCCCAATTGTTTATTTTTTAAAATATTACATATATGAGACTCACTCGAAAAATTTATTCATAATTTTTTACTTTTATATTTCTCCTCAATAAACAAATATACTCTCACTTTTCTTTAATAATTTATTTATTTATTTATTTTAGTCCCTATTATTCATTTTATTTTATTATTTTTTAATAATTTTACTATTTATCTATCATTATAAATACTATTGCAATTTACAATTTATTACACAAATGTCATTACACATAGTTTAATCTTTTTATCTTTATTTCTATTACATTTCAATATAATACTAATATTTCTAAAACTCTTTAAACAAACGGATAGATAGATATAGGACGGAGGGGTATTTATATTTATTCACAACTCTCTATTTATTTGCAAATTAATTTATGTTAATTATAAATAAAAATTTATATTTTTTTATTTATTTATATTATATAAAATTTTATTGTTCATATTATATATTTTATTAAAATATAATTATTAAAATAATTCAACTGCTAACCAAAGAGCACACATAATGTTTTCTTTCATGAAATGTCAAATTCAAATTACTATTTAAATAAATAAACCCCACCTAGTTTGATAATCTAACATCTTAGACTCGACTCAACTAGTTTTAAGTACTAATATGTTAAATTAATATTTAATCTGTTGTAACACATATACATCAATAATATATGTGGGTGTATATACGTATTAATATATTTTAATGACTAATGTTGTAATAATTACCTATAAACATGCCAATTTCTTTTATGTTCGTCTCCCTCTATGTCTCTCTCTCACTAATATATGTTCGTCTCCCTCTATGTCTCTCTCTCACTAATATATATATTTATTATAATTATTTGTTTGTCTTTCTATTGTAAATATACACCATCCCATATTTATATATATTAGATACTGTATTATTATTATATTTTATGACACGTTATGAGAACGCGACTTTGTCAATGAAGAACTAATGTAAAGATAGCGTATTTTTTATATTTTTTTTAAAAAAAATTTATTTAAACAGGTTGCAAAATTTGCATTTGAAAAAAAAGAAAAAAAATATCGCGAAGTTCTACCTAGGTATAATAAAAAAATATCAAAGTGCTGCCGAAACTCTGCCAAAATTTTGAGGTATATATTCAATCAACTTTTTCAATACATTATTGCTAACATACATTTGCAATTTTTCCACCAGCTATTATAGAGAAAACGACACCCGAAGATGGCAATATTCAATAAATGAATTTATATGAATATAATGTAAGTGATGGTGATACTTTTATTAGTACACAATGATATGTGTGATATTTTATGTACCCAGACGGTACATGATAACCATGAAGGTTTATATTTTTAAAATTTCCGATGATGTATATTGAATACCCTGAAGGTGTATATTGAGAACCCTGAAGGTTTATATTTTAAAACCCCTGATGGTGTATATTGAGATGTATATTAAGCATCCTGAAAGTGCAATGAGATAATATATATTTGAAATTCCCGATGATACATATTTTGAACACCCTTGAAGAAGAAATATGAATGATGAGCACGTTATAATAAATAATATGGAAAATAATTTACGTCTCGTTGATAGTACATCAACACACACCATTATGAAATATAAGAAATATTTCCCCAACCTAAAGTTGAGAAAAATTAATGTGAATACTATAAGTGATTGTGTGAAATTGATTAAGGGCTCCGGAAGAGCGATAATATTTCTCCTCGAATGAGTTACATTTGATATCTAATATGTACTATATTCTAGTAAATCCCAAAGACATTTTTTGAGTTTTAATGATATTTGCAAAAATGGACATCATATTGAAACATCAAGTGAGACAAATAATGAATTTTTGTTGATTACAAAATTCATTGATGGGCATAAATATATATTAGAAAAATTGTCTTCATTGTCTTCCGAATTATATTACACAAAGATTAATGCAGTTGAAATATATTTGGTAGACCAGAAGTCTACAGATTTTATAATTTGGCATGACCGGTTTGAGCATTCTGGTAATACTATGATGAGACGAATTATTGAAAATACCCATAGCCATAACTTGAAAGATCAAAGAGTATTAAATACAAATGAGCTTAAATGTATTGCTTGCTCAAAAGAAAAATTAATAACTAGACTATCACTAGCAAAAGTGAAAACTGAATCCCCTGCACTTTCAAAACAAATTTAGGGTGATATATGTGGGCCTGTAGATCTACCATGCATAACATTTCGATATTTTATGATACTTATTGATGCATCCACTCGATGGTCGCATGTATGTTTATTATCCACCGCAATTTGGCATTTACGAGGTTACTTGCTCAAATAATAAAATTACAAGCTCAATTTTCAGATCACCCAATAAAGAAAATTCGTCTTAATAATGCTGGTGAATTTTCATTGAAGAAATTTTGATGATTATTGCATGTCTATTAGAATTGACATTGAACATCCTGTACGTCATGTACATACTCAAAATGGTCTAGCTGAATCACTTATAAAAAAAATTACAATTAATTGCAAGACCTATGTTAATGAAATCCAAACTCCCTGTATCTGCTTGGGGATATGCAATTATGCGTGCAACAACACTAATAAAATTAAGATCGACAAGCTATCATAGTTACTCCCCAATATAATTAGTGTACAATCAGAAGCCCAATATTTCACATTTGAGAATTTTTGGGTGCGCAGTTTATTGTGCCAATTGCACCACCCCAACATACAAAAATGGGCCCCAACGGAGATTGAGAATATATGTCGGATACGAATCAACGTCTATCATTAAATATCTTGAACCATTGTCTGGTGATTCGTTTACGGCTCCTTTTGCGGATTGTGATTTTGATGAGTCATATTTCCCGACATTAGAGGGAGAAACTGATCAACTAAAAAAGAAAATTACTTGAAAAATACCATTCAGTTTTCTTGATCCTCGTACAAGTCAAAATAAATTAGAGGTGCAAAGAATTTTACATTTGCAACTAATAGAAAATCAATTATCTGATGCTTTTTGTGACGCCAGCAGGGTCACTAGATCTTATATAACTGTTGAAAATGTACCTGCAAAAAAATTTTATTCATGGAGACAAAATACAAAGTGCTAATTAATCAAATGCACGCCTAAAGCATGGCAGACCTGTAGGTATCAAAGATAAAAATTCTCAAAAGAAAAGATGAAAAAATGAAATGATTGAGGATTTTAATGTTAATCAAAATCCTCAAGAAACAGGTAGTAACATGAATCAAATTTCTGAAGAAATTGATCCTGATAAACTTACTGGGGATGTTAATCCTAATAGAATTTCTCCTGAAGAGAATGAAATTATTGAAAATTCAATAAATTATGTTACTACTGGAAAGTATTAGAACCGAAATGATACAATTATGGATAATTCTTTTGCATATAATGTAGCACTTGATCTAATGGAAACTGACGAGGATCCAGAACCTAGATCAGTTGATGAATGTCGGAAAAGAATAGATTGACCAAAATAGAAAGATCCGATCCAGACTGAATTAAATTCACTGGCAAAACGGAAAGTCTTTGGACCCATTGTTCAAACATCTGAAGGTGTTAAACCTGTTGGCTATAAATGGGTATTTGTTCGAAAGCGAAATGAGAATAATGAAATTGCCAGATATAAAGCAAGACTAGTTGCCCAAGGTTTCTCACAAATACCTGGAGTATATTTTAATGAAACATATTCTCCAGTAATAGATGTAATAAAATTTCGATATCTTGTCAGTTAGGCAGTATATGAAAATTTGGATATGCGTCTGATGGACGTCGTAAGTGCCTATTTATATGGCTAATTGGATAGTGATATTTACGTGAGAATCCTTGAAGGATTTAGTATGTCTGATGCATACAAAACAAAGCCAAAAGAATATTATTCTATTAAATTACAAAAGTCTTTATATGGGCTCAAGCAATCTGGTCGCACGTGGTATAATCGTCTCAGTGAATCATTATTGAAATAGGGATATTCCAATGATTTTACTTGTCTGTGTGTTTTTATAAAGAAAAATAAGAGAAATATTTTTGATAATAGTTGTTTATGTGGATGACTTGAATTTAATTGGAACTTCTGAAGAGGTCCAAGAAACTATTGAATATTTGAAAATGAAATTTGAAAATTAAAATTTTGGGAAAACGAAATTCTGCCTTGGTCTACAAATTGAATATTTGAAAAATGAAATTTTGATACATTAATCTGCATATACTCAGAAGGTATTGAAACGATTTGCAATGGATAAAGAATATTCATTAAGTACTCCAATGGTCATTTAAACTCTCGATCCTATTAATGATCCTTTTAGACCAAAAGAAGAGAGTGATGAAGCACTTGGTCCTGAAGTACCATATTTAAGTGCTATTGGCGCACTAATCTATCTGGCTAATAGTACTAGACCAGA